TATTGAAACCAGCCAGTGACCTCCCTATAGCTCCCAAATGAACAGGGCATGCTCCCTGCAGGCCCCCACCTGGAGCATGCCGTATGTTCTCAGACTTCCTCAGGGAAGACCCCACTGACCAACCCAGTTTTCACCTTCCCCATTAGCTGCTGTCACTTGTCACAGCCATCCAGGTCCATTCTTTGTGGGCTGTCCTCCACTAGAATGCCAGTCCCCAAGAACAGGGGACTCTGTATTTGGGGTGTCTGAAACAGTTGACCTCAACAGTGTCCATAGCCTCTGTCTTGATTTGTCTCAGCTATGCCCTCCCATGGCTGCTGATCCTCCATCTAGCCTGATTTAAGTTCTCATTCCTACAGCCTTCCCTCAGCCCATCCACTCAAGGAACCTGGCCAATGAGCTGGCAGAAACATGTTCAAACACCCTGTCCAAGGCACCCAGTCTCTCTGCCCCCTCAACACACACACACCAGCAGCACACTATTCCCCAGAATCCAGGAACTATCAGCTCATTTCAGGAGCAAGGGTCTTTTATGCACAGGCAAAACTTAGGGAAGGGGGCACACCAACCACAACCCATCTTCCAAATGTGGAATTATATTGAGACCAAGCCTCTCCTGAACACTTGCATTGCAGAATGCTCTCACCATTGAAAATACATACCACCATATCCTGCAGAATCCATGCTACCTCCAGGACTGGCTGGGTGAGGGGTGGGGGAGGAGTGTGCTTTATTTTTAATAAAATCAAAGTGGAAAATAATCCCCCAAATGCAAAAACAGAAACTCAAAAGGGTCTCAGGGGTGTGAGTGGGCTGGCCTAAGGCAGGATTCCCAAAGGTAAACTGATTTGGGGGCCCACAGCAGCAAGGGGCTTCTCCCAAATACAGAAGTAGGTTCATTTGCAGCAGGCCAGATACCTAGGGGATGTGGAAGAGCAGGCTGGAGACACCTCTTGATAAGAGACTGAAGAACACTGGCCAGCACCTCTCAGGCAAACACAGAAGCCAAATCCCTCCCAGTGTCTTGCCTGGGGCTCCTCTCTGCCAAACCCTGGGAAGGACACAGTGTGCCCATCTGCAGTGGGAACATCCCAGGTAAAGGCAGGAAAGAGTGAGGAAAGGTGGGTTTTGCAGGCAGAGGGCCCATCTCAGGGCACCAGGGTGAATGTTTGGGTTCTTTTGGTAATCCTCATCTGAGGATATTTTTCCATTGATTTTTAGAGTGTGCAAGGGAAGGGGAAGAGGAAGATAGAGATTGAGAGAGAAATCAATATGAGAAAGACAAAAAATTAGATGCCTCACATATTGCCCCATAGGGGCTGGGATCAAACCTGCAAATTAAAACCACAAAGTCATGCAATCTCTCTTTCAAGGCCTTGGGCAGCAATACACTATAAGCCAATATTAATCAAAGAGTGATTTTCTAGCATTATGCTCTCCTTCCAGCGATTATCAAACTGTGGGTCCGACCCCTGAAAATACATCCTGTATATCAGATATTTACATTACGATTCATAACAAAATTACAGTTATGAAGTAGCAACGAAAATAATTTTATGGTTGGGGGTCACCACAACATGAGAAACTGTATTAAAGGGTTGCGGCATTAGGAAGGTTGAGAACCACTGCGACAGATCACAATTGTGCTTGAAAATCATTCCTGGAAGTGAATATATCCACAAAATTAAAGGAACAAAAGAAAAATCACCTTTATTAGAAGATCATAAACCGGAACGAAGGACAGAAAACAGTTTGAAGATTGGTGAATTAGAACCTGAACAATTCATTACAGCATAATGGGAGAACAACAATGTCCCTGAAACAGACAGCACTTCTTAGCTGAGGATGGGTGCCCTTAATGAATCCTGGGTCAGGTGCATTACCTCGTCAGAGAGAAAGGAATGAAGATCCCATCAAGAGCTGGAGTAATCATAATGTTCTCAAGCACAAGTGAGAACACAAAATACATTTTCCCTGAGTCCACAGGGGTTGGGAATGACATACTCTTCACGTGAGCCAGGTGGTAGAGGTGAAATCTCTTCAGCCACAAATCAATCGGATAGTAGATCTGGGCGTGTTACCATATGCAATGCAGCTCTTTCAAACCTCAGTTGTACTGGAAACTTATGAGGAATCTAGTAGAGTATATGTTCCATTAAAAAGGGTTAAAATTCAGGAAAATAGGTCCTTAAGAGTCTCCTTCAGTGTTGTTATTCTAAGTGAGAAAAATAAAACTTTCCATGCACATTTAACACTTCTCTCCAGTGTGAACTCTAAGCTGTGCAGTTAGGTGAGCACTTTGAAGAATGGACATCCCACAATGTCTACATTCATATGGCTTTTCTCCAGTGTGAACTTAGTGGTCTTGTTTGAGATAAGACTTATAACTGAAGGACTTCCCACAATCACTGCACTCATATGGCTTCTCTCCACTGTGACCTCTGATGGCTTTTCTCCAGTGTGAACTCTATGGTGTTTAATGAGTTTAGTTTTTTCACTGAAGAACTTCCCACAATCGGTAGACTCAGAGGGCTTTTCTCCAGTATAAACTCTCTGGTGTTTAATGAGTTTAGTTTTTGCACTGAAGAACTTTCCACAATCAGTACATTCATAGGGCTTTTCCCCAGTGTGAACTCTGTGGTGTTTAATGAGTATAGTTCTTATACTGAAAACTTCCCACATTCAATACACTCATAGGGCTTCTCTCCAGTGTGAACTCTGAGGTGGTGAGGTGAAACCTTCAATGAAAGAACATCCCACATTCTCTACACAAATACAGCTTCTCTCCAGTGTGAACTCTGTAGTTGTTAATGAATATAGCTCTTTCTCTGAAGAACTTCCCACATTCAGTACACTCATACGGCTTTTCTCCACTGTGAACTATATGATGTCTAGTGAGGTAAGCCCTTCGACAAAAAGACATCCCACATTTTCTACACTCATAGAGCTTTTCTCCCGTGTGAACTCTCTTCTGTCAAATGAGGTTAAAGATCCGTTTAAAAACTATACTAAATTTGTTACACGCGTAAATCAGTTCTCCAGAACAGACACCCTGACACTGAACAACTTTCAGGTTGTGGCTGGAAGCATTTTCACATTCACCCCACTGGTGATGACTTTTTCCATCAAGAAATTCCTGTGAGCCCTAGCTGATTTGGCTCAGTGGATAGATGGTCAGTCTGCAGACTGAAGAATCCCAGGTTCGATTCCAGTCAAGGGCACATGCCTGGGTTGTGGGCTCGAACCCCAGTGGGGGGCTTGCAGGAGGTAGCCAATCAATGATTCCCTCTCTTCATTTATGTTTCTATCTCTCTCCCTCTCCCTTCCTCTCCAAAATCAATTTTAAAAATTGTATTTCTTTAAAAAAATGTTTTTTTGTGAAATATCATTGGCACAGTGTAATTCTTTAGTGTTGAGAGTGGCCTGGTACTGGAGAAGCTCTGAGTTGTATTGCCAGTCTTCCCCAACCTCCCTGATGGTTGAAGGCACCAAAGATGCATAAAAGCTGTAACTACTCACAAAAGAGACCCTGTAAATAGCTTGTTTCCAGGACTTCTCTCCGCATTCACACCTCTGTTGCTGGTGAGGGTTAGCACTGAAACAAAAGTCTCCAACACATGCATCACTATAGGAGGCTTTCTGTTCAAAGTATGCTGCATGTGACTCAGTCAGATGCAAAATATCTTTTAACACAGAGAAACACAGCTTACACAGAAGTGTCTCTAAGTGGCTGGAGCTCTCCTAGAAGACCTAACCTGTGATTCTCCTTGTACAGATACACTCTGATCAGAATAGGCCTCCTCATCATCCATTTTATGCTAACAACCTGAAAAGTGAGAAATGGTGAGGAAATGAAGGTTGAATGTGCTGACAAGGGGAAATCCCATTGCAAAAGTGTGTTACATATCACACATTGGTTCACTGCAATTGTCTGAAAATAAGAGATGTGCAGGAAGGGTTAATAAGAGGCTCTCTTGACTTTCTGAGGTAATGAGGATCACAAAACAGGGAGACAACAACAGAAATATGACGCAAACACCGCAAGCACCAAATGGATTAGAATATGGATCTCCAGCAAATCTTTCAACTAATAGCGTTCAGCATGGTTTGTCTGCTGGCTATGGGGGCGAGCTGTCTAAGGGGTTGGTTAGGTCTTACTCCAAATAAAATTCAATAAAGGAATAGCTGGTTTCGAGGACTGCTAAGTACGTATGTGCACCTGATAACACATGTGCAAGTCAATGTTGCAGAATATTGCAGAGGCAGCAGTGCAGAGGAACAGGTGATGAAGAGGTAAGAACTCAACACTGGGAAAGTACAACACAGCTTGCTATAGTATTCAGGGAAGAGAATATTACAAACAATTGAATGAGGACCTTACAAGAACAGCCCATGGTTCATGTAAGTAAAGACTATAACATGGCACAGGTTGACACAAAGAACCTTTACCTAGACAAAGAGTGTAGAAGTTGAAGCCATGCATGTGGACACTGTCAACCTCCCATGAGGAGAAAGTGCAAGCTGGGACCCATTAAGCTCACTCCAAGACTCCTGATTCTGTGATACTTCCTGTACTTTTTTTAAAAATATATTTTATTGATTTTTTACAGAGAGGAAGGGAGAGGAACAGAGAGCCAGAAACATCGACCAGCTGCCTCCTGCACACCCCCCACCGGGGATGCGCCCGCAACCAAGGCACATGCCCCTGACCGGAATCGAACCCAGGACCTCCCAGTCCACAGGCCGACGCTCTATCCACCGAGCCAAACTGGTTTGGCCTTCTTGTACTTTTTGAGGTAATGGGTGTTAGGGATGTTCATGGAGTCCTTTACTCAGGACTCTCCATCCAGCTCACCTCTGGCAGCCACACACATTTGACAGGACAGTGTGGGAAATTAGTAGAGGCCATATTCTGGCTCTGGGAGAGAGCAAGCTATGGCTGAGGAATAAAGGAAGAGAGGTCATCACCTCAGGACATTGGGAGAACGTGAAGGTCTTACCCACAGATGTCACAAGTGCAAAAACTTCCAGCATCGCATCGCAGTATAGAAGTCTCTGAGACTCATCAAGTAGGTCCCATTCCTCCTGAGAAAAGGCAATGGCCACATCCTCAAAGTTCATATCCTGTCAAAATGGGGACAGTACAGCCCATGATCAGATTCACTCCTATGATTGTAAGTCTGTCATACTCCCCACCCTCCACACCCATCTGCTCTCTCCACTACACATCAGAGAAAATACCAGGCCTTGATCCCATAAAAGCCACTGTCTTCTTATATTCCTACTGATATTTTGTCTTCCCACAAAAATAAAGGCAGCTGAGCAGATAGAGCACACCTGAGCTTGGGAGGCTCCCATGTACGCCACACTGACTCTTATCAATAGAGTGGGTGTCAAAATCATAGGTTAAAGAGAGATGCTGGCCATAAAGAAAGAGTAAGTGATTTGATACTGGTCTTGTCAGGCAATACCCTCGTAGTCCCTCAGATTGTTTCTTAAAGATACCAAATACATGGCATCACACTTCACTCTCTTGACTCCAATCCCAAGGTGCTGAGGCCATCACTTTGCACTACCTACTGCACATAGTTCTTTGAACAACACTTCTCTCACACAGCTTCATTCCCAGAAGCACAACTTCAAAGATAATGCAAATTTGCTGTGGCAAAGACACATTGTTTCCTAATCAACTTCTTTACCAAAATTATAGTTCACCACCTCCATAATCCATTTCCCCTTACCCTACTCCCTTACCCATGCCAGTGGAAATTTTGAAGCCTGGGTAACACTGATGTATACTATCTCATTCCTATCAACCAGTGTGTTACCCCCAACAACAAAAGTCAGATGGCTAGTTAAATGGCACCTAAGCTCTGTACCTAGAATGTAGCACCAAAACAAAAGGACATTTGGTGTATCGGTGTATCGGCCTGGGGCCGATTTTGGCACTCAAGCTTCCCTCTTTATCGGCAATTATAAAAGTCACTTCATTGGATCATCCAGACTCCATCAGAAATGGATTCTGCCGTCATTCACTCTTATGTCAATGTCAGGGTGCTGTGGCCATAAATTCACATTCCCTCTCCAAGTGCACATCACTCTTTACCACACCTCTCTCACACATGCACTCCCACAGCCCCAGCTCCCAGTCCTCTCTTTGGCCTCTTACTTATTACTCAGCATGTGTTGTCCAGAGAATGCTTGCAAACATCTCACTTAACCATCACTCAATTCCCAACCCCAATGGCCCTCTGCACCATGCCCAGTGAGTCTCACAAGTGACACTCAAGCCTCTAAGCTAATCCACAAGATTGACTGTAACTTCCCACATACAGGCCACACCAAAGGTCACATCAAAATCCTGGTGAATATTTAGAGAAGTTAGTATGTACCAGGCCTAGTCTCATCTTGTTTGAGTAACTCTTCAGCCTCCAATTCACCTCAGGTCCACTCATCTTTTAAAGGCCTTGGCCAATGCAAAACAATGATCTCTCCCCGACACTCTACAGGACAAGTTCTGTCCCTTTGCTGTGTTGTGACATCCACCTCCCACTAACAGTGGCCCCAACAGGAAAGCTAGTCCTCAGGCTCACACTGTCCCTTCTGAGCTACTACTACCTTTACCAACCTGACCATGATTTCCTATATTAAAGTAACCTACAGTCTTGGCTGTGTCTCAGTTGGTTGAGCATTGACCCATGCACTGGTGAGGTCAATGTTCGGTTGAGGGCTGGATCCACAGTAGGAGTTGTGTAGGCATCAACTGATCCTTGTTTCTTGCACGTCACTGTTTCTCTATCTCTTTTCCTCTCCCTTCCTTTCTACATCTAAAATCAACACACACACACACACACACACACACACACACACACACATATCATACCTGCCGGTTCGTGAATTAGCTCACTCTTCACTCCAAGCCTTTGCACATTCTGGAACCTATGCTCTGGAGGACCTCCCACTCATTACACTGGTTGCCAAAATCAAGGTCCACTCCATGAACCCCTAGCCGTGGCCTTAGGAATCTGGGCTTAGTGTCTGTTCAAAGCTCCCAAGTCAAAGGGCTACAAGAGTGGCTAGACAGTCCTAGGACACCACTCTCTCAGAGGCCACAGTGTGTGAAGCCCTGAAATAAACTCCACAAACCGATACACCTAATTGATTATGCATTTGCAGGAATTTGTGGAAAGAAAATGGTCTGTTGAGAGCCTAGCAACCGGCACCTGGATCTATGGCAGGGGTGGGCAAACTTTTTGACTCGAGGGCCACAATGGGTTCTTAAACTGGACCGGAGGGCCGGAACAAAAGCATGGATGGAGTGTTTGTGTGAAGTAATATAAATTCAAAGTAAACATCATTACATAAAAGGGTACGGTCTTTTTTTTTTTTTTTAGTTTTATTCATTTCAAATGGGCCGGATCCGGCCCGCGGGCCGTAGTTTGCCCACGGCTGATCTATGGGCTCAGGCTGCTGAATACCCTTGCCCAGCCCTGAGGCCAGGTGACCTTGAGATGCCTATATTATCTCAGGGCTCAGCCTCAGTGCTCACTCTTCCTGGTGGCAACTGCTGTCCTCTGTCTTCTAGTCTGTTCTTCCTCTGAGTAATGTTAGGAAAAGTGAGAACCCTACCTCAGAAAATGTCCCTCTTTTTTTCACAACCATCTATTGTTAGGTCTGATCAAATAATTGAATTGATACCCCGCCCCCCTGGGAACTGACCTTTTGGCCACTTCACAATGGACATTCCACTTGCTTAGACCACATTCTACTTGCTAAGACCATTCTCTCTTCCCTCTGGAGATTCCCAGAATCCAGACCTGCACAGAGAATTCTCCACCCAGAAAAAGCCTGCCTAGAGTCCTTTAAAAACCGCTGACTCCCTGTCTTTGGATGCTGGTGCCATTTTGGGGTTCAGCCTTTCTGGTTATACAGATGACCTAATCTATAATAATGAAAGTGTAATATGCTAATTAGACCGGACGTCCTTCTGGACGAAGCCAGGTCTGTGAGGGAAGCTTGAGTGCAGGGTGCCTACCTGCGGCCATTGAGAGGGAAGCCCGAATGCTGGCAGCCAGGGGTAGGAAGGCCTACTTTTGCATGAATTTCATGCATCGGAAATCTAGTAAATTCATAATTCTTCATGCTTTTTGGCCTCATACATTCCTCCTTTGGAGACCCTAACATCTGGTGCCAAAATGCAGGAGAGCTCTATGGGGATGGGGAGCCATTGCCCCAGCTTCGGTCACCCTAAGTTTGCTATTCGGAAAGCAACAGGCAGTGGCAGCTCAACCTGGACTTACCTCCAAATACTATTCAGATGACTCGATTGCTTGCCTCGATTAGGCCTCTCTCCCTTTATGGACCCTCCTGAACCAGCCAAGGAGGACAACGAATCAAAACCTCTTCTTCTCCATTGCTGACCCCCCATCCCACACCAGCCAATCTTCTCTAGGTGAGTGACAACCCACAATTTCCCTCATCTGGAGTCTTCTGCCCACTCTCTCTCACTAACTTCTTGAAAGTCTCTTGTCTCAAAAGTCCTGGAGCTAGGCCAGAAGACTCCTCAGCCATTTCGCTTTGGGTCCTTATGGATTGGGGGCGCCTAGTCCAGAGGATCACCTCTCATGATTCATGGTTTAACTATGGGGTGCCTACCCTAAACAATCACCTTTGGATTTGTGGTCTATCACTCATCCTTCCTCTTGTGAGCCACACCACACTCCCTTTGCACACTCACGGGGGAGAACATGCCCAACCACCTCATCTTATTTTGTAACACTGTTTGCCCACAATATAAACTAGATGAGAAGTCTCAATGGCCTAAAAACGACACTTTTAATTTTAACGCATTGCACAATTCAGATAATTGCTGTCACTGCAATGGAAAATGGTCAGAAATTCCCTATGTCCAGGCTTTTTTCACCCTTTAGTCCCAATCCTCTCTCTCAGTTCTGCTCTACCTATCAAATCTTTCTCCTTCACATAAAACATCATACCCCTAACACTTCTGATTCTGAAGCTACTTTTGAACCAGCAAACCACTGACCTCCATCTCCTTACACATCACTTCCCTCACCTGAGTAGATTCCCAAAACCCAGACCCTCCTAACTAGCAACCACCTTCTCCCCCGGCCCCTGAGAGCCCAAATCCCAAGAACTCAAGCTCCAATAAAGCCTTTACCCACCTAACATTTGCTCTCAGGCCTCCCTAATACTGCCTTTCTCAACAGCTGCTTCTATTCCATCACCCATTCTACCCCTGAGAGAAGGAGCAGGAACTGAGGGTATTGTCTGGGTACACATCCCATTTTCCATGTCTGACCTGGCACAAATTGAGAGGCATCTCAGGTCTTTTTCCACCAACCCGACCACCTTTACTAAGGAATTTAAGTACCTGACCCAGTCTTATGACCTGACCTGGCATGACATCTAAGTCATCCTGTCATCCTCTCTAACCCCAGAGGATAAGGAGCACATCTGACTAGTAGCTCAGGACCATGGTGTGCCCTCCATATACAGGACTAGGTGGCAAACCAGGCTGGCGCTAACGCAATCCTCCAAACTGACCCAAGATGGGACTAGCAGGTCAATTCTCCCTCTAGTCCCAATCCTCTCTCTCAGTTCTGTTCTATGTAGCCTGGGTGCAAGCTATGTAGCCTGTCTCACTGTCAGACTCAAAAAGGCTGCCAATAAAGCAGTCAATGATGATGAACTTATTGAAATCACTCAGGGCCCTGATGAAAACCCAGCTTTCCTCTTCTCCTGCCTCACGAATGCCTTACACAAATTTACCACCTTTGAGCCCACCTCCCAGGGGGAGCCCTTCTTCTGAACACCCATTTTATATCCCAACTAGGGACCCAGTGCACGAAATTCGTGCACGGGGGTGTCTGTCCCTCAGCCCAGCCCTTCACCCTCTCCAATCTGGGACCCCTCGAGGAATGTCCAACTGCCTTTTAAGGCCAGATCCCATTACTAGGGGATCAGGGCCTAAACGGGCAGTCAGACATCCTTTCTCACAATCCAGGACTGCTAGCTCCCAACTGCTCGCCTGCCTGTCTGACTGCCCCTAACTGCTTCTGCCTGCCAGCCTGATCACCCCTAACCACTCCCCTGCCAGCCTG